ATATTGATTTTCACACAATTTTTTACTATAGAAAAATAGAGCAATTTTTTCTGTTGCAAGGAACTCCAAAAGGCCACAACAGGTCAAAATGTTTTTAACACAATGGATCCCTATTTGAAATCTCTGGGTTGATCTTATGAATCATATTTGCAAACACGACCGTGCTAACATTGTGCGGCAGCCTGGAGCACCCTTGGAAGGATCTCAAGGTTCCCCAGTTTGCTCCGGCACCCTGACTGGGAATCACTGGTCTAGGGAACAAGAGAGTGGGTGGGTCTAGGAGAAAAGCTGAATTAAGCAAGTAATCAAGGGGCAATGAGATTTAACAACAACATGGGTATGGAAATACAGGTAGATGAACAGTCTCTTCAACAGGGCTTGAGTATTTTGCTTTTTAAAAGACAACCTGATGACCAGTTAGGGAAGCTCAAATCCACAGAATTTCAATAGGAAATCAAGGTTTGGAAAAACATCAGGTATTACGTCTCAGGGAAAGTATAAGAACTGCAAGAAGAGGCTGTACCAGGAGTTTTTTTTAGCTACCTGAAAATCGAAGGAGAGTTGCATACAGGGAATAGAAGAAAGAGGAGGTCGCTAATTAAATAGACACGGAATAGCACAAACATGTAGGGACGAAATTAGCAAAACAAAAGGGAAAAACGAGTTACAACTGGCAAGAGCTATCAAAGACAAGATGACGGAGCTCTACAAGTATTAGATGGAAATGAAAAACCAGGTGTGCTGCTCAAAAGAGAAGGCAGGATATTAACGGAAGATGCAAAGAAGGTGGGAGCCACTCAATGACTACCAGGTTTCGGTCTTCACTAAAGACTGCCTTATAGGCAGCATTGGTCAGGCCACAGTTGGAGTACTGTGTCCAGTTCTGAACTCACCAGAGGGAACCCGTGGGAATTGGGGGAGGCTCTGTTCCCCCCGGGCACCACCCAGGGATAATAGGAATAATGGCCACAAATTGTTAGAGAGCAGGTTCAGGCTGGACATCAGGAGACGTTACTTTACAGTTCGGGCTGCCAGGCTCTGGAATGGGCTCCCAAGGGAGGTGGTGCTGTCTCCTACCGTAGGGGTTTTCAAGAGGAGGCTGGACAGATATTTGGCTGGGGTGAAATGATTTGGCTGGGGTGATATGACAGCGGCACCCGTTCCTGCCCGGGGCAGGAGGTCAGACCTGATGATCTGTTTAGGTCCCTTCCGACCCTAAGCACTATGAAACTATGAAAAGTGACCAGAGGCTAACAAAATTAAGATACGCAAAGAAGGGGAAGAACTACAGAGCACAACAAGTAAAAGGCTCAGGGAACAGTTGACAAATTCGAAGTAATGTAAGTCTCTAGGCCCTGATGGAAGTTGTCCCAGAGCACTGAAAGGACAAATGGATGAAATCTTGGGGTCATTAGCGATAATAAGTGTAATCTCACAATGACAAGTGAGGTAGCAGAGGACAGATGAAAGGCTAACATAGGCCATGTCCAGACATGCATGGATGTTTGCTTCCCTGGATATCCAGGGGTCAAAAACCCCGCTCTGCGCTGCTCTCTTGCAACATGGAGAACAACGGGGCATGTGGTATGTGGCGCCACAAAGGTGTCTGCGGTGCCCCATACCTCATGGCTGCGCTCATCTGGATGTGGCCGTAGCGTTTATCTTAAAAAAAAGGAGGAGGAGGAGGAGGGGAATTATAGAGCAGTCAACCCTATTTCAATATCTGGGAAGTTATTAGAGCACATGATAAAGCATTCAATTCCTGGAGAATGAAAATTAGTAGTTAACATGGATTTATTATGAACAAATCATGCCAGAACAACTTGGTTTCCTTCTTAAAAAAAAGGATAACTGCTTTGATGTATAAGGGGAATGTGGTGGATATATCACACCTGGGCATTAGTACGGTCTCTGACACAATCTCTGACGGCAGTCTCACCAGTAAGCTAGAGAAAGGTGGGCAAAATAGTATTCCTATTAGGTGCAGTATAACCACGCAGGGTAACTATTATTGGATTGACGTTAGGTTGGCAGGAGGTCTGAAGTGAGGTTCCAGAGGGATCTGTTCTGGATCTGGTGCTGTTTAACCTTTGTATTAATGACAGAGGCAGAGATAAGAGTATTCTGATGAAGTCTGCAAAGGACACGGACACCTTGTCAAACGACCAAGCCCCTTGGAGTTTAGGCCAAAAAAGTTGCAGTCTGTGCCCGATCACATTTTCCAGTTCTCCACCCTCCTCCACAACAAAGACTGGCAAAGGCTGAACTCATCATTAAGCACCAGAAACTTATCAAGGCTCTTCTGAATTAGAAATGTTGAGTTTATCAACTGTCTGCTCTAAGCTCACCTGGTTGGTTACAACTTTGTGGCGATTAAGATTAAACTAAAATTTATAATCCTGTCTTTGGGGAGAAAGAGATGTAACAAATATCACCTTGTATGGACATGAGTGAAGCATAATCTGGAGTGTAAGGTGAAGTTCTAAGGCAATAGTTATAGTTATAGGGGAAATTATCATAAAGCATGCTTAGGCATTAGAGTAGGCAAGCTAATAGAAGGTAAGTGTGTAGAGAGAGCGGTTGGACATGCCTTCAAGACTGCCGAGGTGATGCGCTGTCCCACAGGCCCTAACAACTCTCTGATCAACACTCGCTGGGACACAATATCTGCTTAGCAAGATAACTGAAGGGTGACTGTGCCCGAAAGCTTGCAAAGAACTTTTTTCCAACTACTTAAGTCTTAGGTGGTCTAATAACAGATATCACATCTAGCCAAAAAACGTAGCCTGCCTATTGCCTGTTAACGCATTGTGTTTATCTCCTAATAAATGCACTTTACTGAGTGGAACTCTTGTCTCCTCGTACGTCTTAACCCTGATCATGCCTTAAGCACAGCAGTTCATGTAACAGGAGGATAGGATTAAAATTCAAAAGGATCTTGATAAAGTAGAGAACTTGGAAATATATAATGTGAAATTCAACATAGGCAAATATAAGGTGATGCTCCTGGACAAGAAAAAACAAATCCACAATTACAGAATGGGGAATCAATGGTGTGGCACTGGCACCGTCAAGAGCAATCTGGGGGTTACAGTGGATCACAGACTCAACATGGACCACCAATGAGATACTGTCACAGAAACAAATAGCTTTGTATTGCCTTAACTTCTGTATTGTGCTCCTGACATGAGAGTTAATAGTACTCTTCTACTTGGTTCTAGTAACTGAAGTGTTGCATCTAGTTGTGGGTGCCACTTTTTAGAAGGATGTAGAGTAATTGGAGAGGATTCAGAGGCTAGCAACAAAGAGGGTGACGGGAATGGAAAGCAAGCTACATATGGAAAGGCTGAAAGAACCAGGTACATTTAGTTTTCAGAAAAGGAGATTAAGGGTGGGGAGCATGCTGGCAGTTTCTAAATATTTTAAAGGCAGTCATAAAGAAGACAAGAGAAAAACTCTTCTCCCTTGCCACCAAGGGCAGGACACAAGGCAGAGGGTTTAAACTGCAGCAAAGAGGATTTAGATCAAATCTCAAGAAAAAAAATGCTTAACCATAAAAGCAATACAAGACTGCCTTTATTAGAGATTATCAAGCAGAGGAAGGATAGTTATCTATCAGGAATGGTTCAGGACCCGTGAATCCGGCATCTCTGTAGCACCTGGAAGGTCATGAAACGTGACAGAACCTATATGCCGAAAGCCCTGTAGCCCTCCCGTCCGCTCAGCGCAGTCCTGGGCGCACACATACAACCTCTTCACACAACCTTTGGAAAGGTAAAAGAAAACAGGCATTAGGGAGATATAGATACAAGTCTCTTACCCTGTACCATCAAATCTTCCTTTTGCCTTCCAATGTCATTACTGGCACCCCTTTTTCTGAAATAAAAGGTCCCCAAATCTATTACATTTTTGTAAACCTTTGACATCCAACCCCTAACTTTTGGAAATTTGGATGGGATTGGCAACTTGTCTCCTTGTTATTATTTACTTTTGGGTGCATCAGCCTGGGGAAAAGGGTCAAAGCACTGACATACTATGAACAATGCTGTCCTTGGGAGAGTCTTCTGTCCGCCAGAAGCAAATTCCATGATAAATCTCACACAACTTTTGTTCTTATACGATACACAGCTAAACTCTTTGCCACCAGAAATTTCAGATAAGCTGCAGAAAAGCACCCAATAACAGGGGGCTTCTCTCTACATCAGACTAATGACTCTTTTGGTGCTTCCCATCACCAGAACTACCAGCAAATTTTGAAATAAAATCTGAAACGACAGCAGGTTTTGGCACCTACTGGCAAAATTCGCTGATATTTGCTGGAACCTTTTACCAAAACCTTGATGTCTTTGGGCTCCAAACAAAGTTTAGAAGGACCTAAATCCCCTCCAAAATGTGAAATCCAATATTCTGAAAATCTCACAGGACTACTAGACAGTCTTTAAAACACTGAAGTGGTAGTACTGCAACTGCTGCGCCAACGGTAGCACTCAGTTCTGGGCCTTCAAACAACTGCCGCAGTAGGTGTTCAGATCCCTTTGTTTTGCCACGTTTTTTTGCTCTCCCCTTTTCCTTGCAGCTGAATCCCTTGCAATACAGAACTACGATCAAGCAAAGTATAATGTCACTTGAGAAAACTCGCAACAGTGAAGTGTCCAACTTTTGTGCAAAATGAACATTAAGGAGGCTGAGCAATCATACTGGATTCTGGATAAAAGACATGACCCAAAGAGGCATGTAAACCTGCAGGTGGACAAAGGAACACGAGGAAAGATTGGTTCCCAGAAGGAAAACTTAAGACTAAACCAATGTACTGCGACTGAATGAGTCAGAGTAGTTTTAAGGCTCCCAGTCCATAAATCACTGTCCTTGAAGAAAGCTCCTTGCCACTACAATTAGCTTTTCACCAGCATGTCTCCCCATGCCCTCATGGGCTGGCACACATACATGCCAACATTTAAAATGGAATTTAATTGCACTCTTCTCCCCAATGGGAACCTTACCTTCTAACAGATCGTTCTGGTGTAGCCATTTAGGCCGGGAAAGATACCACATGTGATCATCCGCTTGGTTCCAAATTTCATTGTCGATGCTGGGAATAAAACCTCAGTCATAATAATACCACGAGTTAGCACACCCCAGAGCTGCTGTGCCAGCTCAAACTAGTTATGTTCTTTTGGTTCTGTGGTGGTTTAAGTTTTCTTTCCCCTTCCCTCTCCCGTCCCCCCCCAATCAAGGACACACATGGCTGCCCAAAAGCAGCAAAGCATTTCTACCAAAATTACTCTCCTTTAGTAACAAGACCGCAAAAGACTGAAACACACAACACTGTCTGCCACCACCCTACTTTACTTGATTGTCTTTTAATAACTACAATAAAGTTGTGCAAGGAAATAATATTCCACATCCTTGACTCTCCAGGGCAGAATATGGACAATCCCAAAGGAAAGTGGGCCTTAGCTGAATCTGCTACTTTGAGTAAAACAGGAAGTTCAGTCCTCTTTTATTGTACCTTTTTTATTTTTGAAAGCCTGCCCAAACAGTTCCAAGTTGAGTAGAAGCAAAGTTATTGATGTCAAGGAGCCAAGATCTTTTGCCATGGTTTGCTGAATGAGGAAGGAAGAAAACTGTTTGTGCTCAGCTGTCCTTTGCTTCTCCAGCCTAGCTCTGAGCCAAAGAAGCAGGAAGAGGAGAAAGATGAATAAGTGAAAAGGGATAATGTTTATCTTTTAACAAAATCACAATGTTCTGCTCTCAGCTCTAGCAGCCAAGACTTGCTGTTGCATCTTTAAGACAGATAGTCTCTTCTCTGAGAGACGACAGGCTAATTATAGTGCTCCTGCCAGAGGGAACTCACACATGCAAACCATTATGTAAAATATAATTTTTTTCTTTAAGAATGCTCAAGATCATTAGACATGGTTTTTTCAATGCTAGAAAATCAAGCCAAAAATGAAAATAAACAGTTTCAAGTATTTGCAACATAATTCCCTCATGCATTTATGGAAATATAGTAAAAAGGCGCCCTAAAAATGTGGTTTGACATTTCATGCTGTTCTGTTTTTCTATTTTTCCAGTTCTCAACATTTGCCCTCTTGTCCTGTATCATTTCAGCTTTACTGCAGTTTGAAGCAGAGGACGGTAATGGCTGTGGCTGTCCATATTCCAGCCTCAGAATAGCCAATGGGCAACAGGATACAGCACAAGGACTTGTAAATTATACATCTATTATGATATATACATGTATGTGTATATCTATACACACACACTCATGATATTATATACACACATTATATAAATGTGTGTGTCTATATGTACATACACACATATATGTATACACGTGTATATATTATATTAAATTCAGTATGGCAAAAATGTTGCAAATATGACAGAATCCTTCACTAAGATAATTACATGCATAGCACTGCTTACCCTAAAAATATGCTGTGCTGATTTATGGCTAAATAAATAATTTAGTTCATTTAACAACTAAGCAAGGTCTTATGAAGTCCACAATACGTTAGGGGAGATCTGTTATTTATATGTAATAGAAAGGCGGGGAAAAATCTTTTGGTTCACAGTTTCATAAAGTCAAGGAAGAATCTTTCAGCAGGGAATATATAAGGTCTTGGAAGGTACAAATGGGACTATCCCTTTACTTTAATGTAACAAAAACTCACCAGAATGTAAATTTGCAAATTACTGTTTGTTCTTATTTTACACATTGCACTTTATTTCTCTTGACATCATATCATCTTCCTTGATTATTTAGTACTGGTGTCCAGTCCATGTGGCTAGCTAGTACGTGAATCTCCAGCCAGCATTGCCAAACCATTATTCAACAAACTAGAGGAACAGCATGCTGGCCACTCAGACACTTCTGGGGACAGGAGCTATTCCACAAAGAAAAAAAACATTGTTCTTTCCAAGTGTTCTTCAGTCCAGAAGAGGGGTTATCAGACAGTACTATCTCCAAGCCACTTGCTTTTACAATGCTCATATTAAATCTAGAATGGATGCAACTTTGTCTTTAAAAAACCCAAACACTTCCTTATTCAAATGCATAGTTACCTCCAGCTTTTACCAGGCTTATAAAACAAAGGATTATTTTAAGCATGGAAGTAAGCAGCAGCGCGATCTAATTAAGCAAGCAACTTCTGCTAAAACCCCGAGTCCTAATCCAGATTCTCCTGGTGCCCAATCCCGTCTCCTCGCTGTGTACAAGATGAAACTTTCTTCAAAAAAGCGCGGAAAGAATTGAGAGAATTAACTGAAGTCTGTAGACCTTTAAAAATATAAAGCTTTAAGCTTGTACCTGCTTAAGTGCGTCTTGGCATTTTTGCTTTGCAGCAACAGCTCCAACCCAAAAGCCCACTCAGCACGTGCTTAATTTTAAACATTAAAGTTAAGAATGCAATAAGTTGTTTTTTTTCTGGTGTTGGTCTTACCTGCAACATCTGCAGTAAACATATCGTATATTTAAGCTTACTTCCCTGTCACACCACTAATGGATGAATAAGCACTGGAGCCCTTTTAGACAACTGATCGTCATCCATCCACTCATCTATCTATCCATCCATCCATCTGCCTACCTACCTGCAGATATCTAGCTATATCTATATACAAACATTCTAAATATTTTAAGACCATGAATATGAATGTAAAAACAACTCAACTTAGAAAAAGTGGGCAAGACTTGCAAAACCAGTTTAAAGTGTTTTAGCCAACAATATTTTTTATTACTGCTGCCTAGATACTATGGTCTATAAACACCTAAACACAGTTTTCAAAACAACTGTATATTATTAAGTAGGCAAAATGAACCTTTCAGTGTATTCTGCAGACTGTACAGTTTCATAATGAATGACCAGGTAATTGGTCCTCAGAGAACAGTCACATATAAGGGAAAAGATTCTAGGCCAGGGCGGGAGGCAAAAAGAGGTTAAATCGCTTACAACCAGGTTTTTCCTTGGTTTTAACTCATATGTGATGACATAAAACCCAGAAAAAACAGCTCCAAGTTGAAAATGATTTAAATTTGCCAGCTCTGAGCATTTCTGGAGGCTTGCCAAGCTTAATTTGGATTTAGGCATTTCAAAGTTTGCACAGCTCTAACTTTAACCTCTTGCAGCCTAAAAAGTGGACTTGGTAATGCACACAAAAATATTCCACATAATTCAACACAACTGACAGTCTGTTCTCAAGGTACCCAGCACGGAATCAGAATGTTTTAGTTGTTTCACTCCAGAAGAGGGTGGTGCTGTGTCTCTATTAGTAAAGACATCCACGATTGAAGTGGCTTATGCACCAATCTAATGTTTCATACTGATAATGTGCAAAAGAGGGAATAGGACTCGTTTTCTACGAGAGTACACTTTTGTTGTGCTTGTAATTTTTATTTGCAACTAGCTGTTGCAAATATGCAACAATATTTCAGCCTCTATACATTTTCAGAGGGAAAGATCCTACCTTTGGAATAAATAATGTCTAAACTTTACCTTCATAACAGCGCAGTTCGTCCAAGTACTATATTCTGACTACTGAAATGCACAGAACCCCTTTGTAGGAAAGCTAATCTCACCATACTATTCAAAATGTGTCGCTAATGAGGTTACTACTTAACAGAACCATAGAAGGACCTGGAAAAAAAAGAAAATATCCTGACAAATGTGTTGATCGGGAATGCTAATATTTTTTTCCCAGGGTACTATCTAAAACTCAAGTTTTTTGTTGTTTTTTGTTAAAATATGTTAAAAAAAAAAAAAAAAAGAAGTACTTTTGTATGCAGTGAAAAATCATAACATTGAAACATAAGGACATTTATCTTATAACTATTTTTCCAGCCCTCTTCCAAAAAATGTGCTGGTTATTAAAACATTGCTATGTAAATAAAAATGTTCTGCTTTATAACTTACCTTCTCTTTTCCCTCCTTAGATGTACAATGCAGTCATTGTTTGTTAGATCACACTCATTCTCATAGCAAAAGGCTTTGATGTCACAAACCGAGTGCTATGACTTCATTTTATGTATACATTAGCAGGACACAAGATGATTGTGTTAAAATGTTTCTAGCCCACAAAACATACATCTGGGACCAGATCCAAAGCCCAATGGGAGATTTGGATCAGGTCCCTAATTATCTTATGGCAAAGGAGGAGACCAAACTCAAATTTATTAATAAGAGGGTTAAAAACCTTCTATTAGTCTACTTTCTGCAACTGTACATTGTTTTATCAAAGAATCTCAGAGCACTAAAATATGAATCCTGCCAACAGATCTGGAAGAAGCTTGATAATATTTTTACTGTGAAAATGAATGAAAAAAAGATTGTGATTTGCCCAAAGGCAGATGGTAAATTAGTGGTAGCGGAGACCCAAAAAATCCTTGCTCACAGGTATCTGCTCCAACTCCTAGGCTAAACTGCAGCAAGCAGTAAGGCATGACAAAGAGGAAAATGGTTTAAATTAATTTACAGCCAGTACTGCGTCACATGCAAACTTGAAGACCTAATGCTGTCCCCTTAACTGCTTGTGAATTAGTAGGATACAACCCTTTGTGCTGCACGGCCATTGTGACCTGTTATCTGGATGGTTTTAGCAGGAGTAAAGATCCCTACTGATGCTCAGCACATACCGGATGTTTAGATTGTATATTAAGGCTAGGTACAGGTGGTCAAAAAGCCTGAGGCGGAACTGAGCAAACCTACCTGGGTTTCTGTAAGTGGCATAGGTTAGTTTGGGGTAGGGTTAGGGGGATGCAGGCTGCCTGCACTGACCGAGGCCAGCAGGTTGGGGGTGCTCCCACATGCATCCCAGCAGGCCCCACGGGCTTTCTGGGCTGCTGGAGAATGCCGATTGCAGCCAACCAGCAAGGCCACTCCCGATTAGCTGCCGGGTCTGTGCGGCAGAAGCCCGAGAGAACCTGAGGGCAGGGCCTCCTGCGTGGTCGGCTGCCGCAGCTGAGTGCGGGGGGAGTGCTGCCATGGCTCCCAGCAAGGGGAGGCTAGTAGTGGGCCGCAAAGGCACCTGGGATGCTGGTGGACACTGACCTAACATGAATCGATAGGCGATCTGGTAGAGAAGTGTGATGCACCAGACTAACCTAAAACTATTAAGTTTGACTGTACATCAATCCAGGTCTAGCTTAGACTAAGTTCTGCCATTTTTAAACCAGCCCGTGTGCGCTGAACTTGTGTTCTGTTCCAGGTGTAGATATCTGTTTGTGTGTAACGTCTGTACCTGGCCTACGAAGTTTACATATTCATTGTGCTACTTTTTCTACCCATAGTATAACCTGGAAGAAAAAAAAAAAAAGGTTTTTCTGTGTAAATCAGTGCTAGGTTCTCACAGCTTTACAGTGCTGTCGATTTAAAGACCAAATGCAGATGTTTAGCTATTACACAGTAAGTTAAACTGTAAGTAAAATATCCATGTGTTTCACCAGATGCCAATGGAAGTGCACATCACAGCTCTTCAGACTCGCTTTTATCTGTTTCTCTGACTATGGCAAAGCTGTTTTGTCTAACAGTCTTAAAAAAGGACTGGGAGCAGGAACATCCCCTATGCCCACAGGATAGCCACTTCCTCTGTTTCAGTTTGCACGTCT